GATCCGCCTGTCTCGGCCTCCCAAAGTGCTGGGATTACAGGCTTGAGCCACCGCGCCCGGCCCCAATACATTTTTAGAAACAGTTTTTAATTACACAGCAATGCATGAATACCTTCTCATTATTAAATAAACTACAACACTGCAAAGTCCCCTTTGACACCACATCTAATCCTAGCCTCTCCTCCTTTCCATGATAAGCAGGTGGAGACCCAAGATGTTTAGTAGCCAGCAAGGCATGGCCAGCCATATCCATTCCAATCAGAACAGGCCCTGGGTGTTACACAGAATGGCCCCACGGTGACATACCACGTGGGCATTCTCTCCATCTCACAAAAGGGCCAGTCCTGTGCCCCAAAGCCTCCAAAAAGACGAACCTGGAATGGACATCAGGGAATGGACCCCTGGGCCCCAAGCTCAGGCCAGTAATGCTTCCCCGCCATGCAGGGCAAAGGGGAGATGGATGGAGGAGCAGAAAGCCCCGCTAAGCAGGGCAGGCATCTGCAGGAAAGTCAACCCTAAACACACAGCTGCAACGAGGACCTGGCTCTGAACCTGTCGGCTGTTCCCATTTCAGCTTCTCTTCATACATCACGATTTCCAAAATGTTCCTTTAACTGCTGCCACCAACAGGGGGAAAGCTGCCTAGGGCTGGAGCAGTCAGGGCCACGAGGAGAACTGGAACGGGAGCCAGAGCAGGGTTTATCTGCTGGCTGAGCTGTAGTCTACGGTCACGCCCCAGCTGTGAATGAGGTCGAGGACACAGTACACTTCAATGCCTTTTCCATCTCTGATACTCCCCTCCAGCTAAGCTCATTCAGTTAAGCTGCATACCAGGGGACACAGAGGGTGCTAGCTGGCTTCCATTTCCCCCTTCTTTTTTTGGTATCAGAACATATGGCTACCCAGCTAAAAAAACCACATCCCCCAGCCTCCATTCCAGCTGTGTGTGATATGCTACAGCCAATGAGACATAAATCAAGGTGTCACGTGGAACTTTTCTGAAGTCTCTTTAAAAGAGTCTTCAGTGTGGGGTAGGGATAGGTGGTTATTCTACCTTCTTGTCTTCCATCCTGCTGCTTGGAATTCAGATGTGATGGCTGGAGCTCCCATGCCATCTTGTCATCAAGGGCAGAAAACCAGCATGAGAATGGGGCTAACACAGAGGATAGGGGGCCAAGAGTTGGATAAAGAAATCAAGTCCATATCATAACTATTTATTTATATATTTATTTATTTATTTATTTTTGAGGCAGGGTCTCACTCTGCCACCTGGCCTGGAGTGCACTGGCATGATCTTAGTTCACTGCAACCTCTGCTTCCTGGGCTCAAGCAATCCTCCAGCCTCAGCATCCCAAGTAGCTGGGCTTACAGGCGCAAACCACTAATGCCCAGCTCATTTTTGTATTTTTTGTAGAGACGGGGTTTTGCCCTGTTGCCCAGGCTGGTCTCAAACTCCTGAGCTCAAAGTGATCCACCTGCCTCGGCCTGCCAAAGTGCTAGGATTACAGGTGTGAGCCACCACACTCCACCCCTTATCATAACTCTTTAAAACTCCTGGAACAAGCTGTGCCTGAAGCTAGCCATCCTTGAAGTCTTCAGTTATTTGTGCAAATAAATTCCACCTCCCACATCCCCTACCTTTCCCCCACCTAAAAAAGTTTTGAGTATTTTGGCTCCTTATAACCTAAAGTCTCAATTCATACCAGATTATCACTTTTATACTGTTAGATTCTATCTCCCAAATGATAATCTTCAAAGGCAGTGCCTGCCTGCTGAGAGAAGGCACACCCAAGAGCCATGTAGCATGTGCCATGTATCCTCTCCCATACTGTCGTCTACCTGGGAACTCGATGGGGCAGTAAGTGGCGCTGTAACGAAGGCTTGTGGGTCCTACATTTCCTTTTTTTTTTTTTTTTTTTTTGAGACGGAGTCTCGCTCTGTCCCCCAGGCTGTAGTGCAGTGGCGCAATCTCTGCTCACTGCAAGCACCGCCTCCCGGGTCCATGCCATTCTCCTTCCTCAGCCTCCCGAGTAGCTGGGACTACAGGCGCCCACCACCACTCCCGGCTATTTTTTTGTATTTTTAGTAGAGACAAGGTTTCACTGTGTTAGCCAGGATGGTCTTGATCTCCTGACCTCGTGATCTACCCACCTCGGCCTTCCAAAGTGCTGGGATTACAGGTGTGAGGCACCGCGTGAGCCCCTGTGGGTCCAACATTTCTACAGCCCGGGATGGGGATGGACTACTGTAAATTTCACACATTCCTGACATGGGTTTGGATCATAATCCTAAAAGACATAATCTCAAATACCATAATCCCAAATGCTGAAATCCCCAAAGATCAAAATCCCTAAAGTCTAAAATCCTAAAAATCTCAATCACAAGATAGTTGTATCCTGTTAGGCCAACTCTTACGAACGGTCTCCGTGCAACTGCCCATGATCTCTCCCTGCAATACACTTGGTCCTATGTTAAATTTGAAAAAACTAAATGGTCTTTAGCATATATAAATAAATATACGTCTATATTTCCCCACTGTTTTAAATAGTCAGCATTACTTTTTACAATTCACTATGCTATGTATTTCATCTTCACATCATTCTCGATGCTGCAGGTATAAATGGTGTAGAGACTTGGAGAGAGTTCTAATTCCTTTTATGCGTTTGTTGCAAATTTGACTCTCTGAAAGTGTATTATCTCGGCATTGCCGGTGTGTAAGCATTGTGCATGTATGTAAAAATGTTGAAAGTTCCTCAGTGAATATAGGGATGTCCTTTTGGTACATCTGCATTTGTGAAAGATAAACTTTCTCCAGATTCCGGCTCTTTTGGCATCTGCATATGCCCTAGTGAGCCGCTGAGGGTTTCGGTCGATCTCACCAACAGGCTTCAGTTGTTCATTACAGTATTTCAGACAACAGCTATAAAGCTGTGTCCCCACAATCACCAACCCTGGTGATATGCATTTATACATTTCCCTTTTTGACCTATTTCTTTATGGGTGTGGGTCATCTGCTAATCACTTTTTTTCTTTTTTTTGAGATGGAGTCTCACTCTGTCACCCAGGCTAGAGTGCTGTGGCATCATCTCGGCTCACTGCAACCTTTACCTCCTGGGTTCAAGTGATTCTCTTGCCTCAGCCTCCCAAGTAGCTGAGATTACAGGCGCCTGCCACCACGCCCATCTAATTTTCATATACTTAGTAGAGATGGGGTTTTGCCACATTGGCCAGGCTGGTCTCAAACTTGTGGCCTCAGGTGATCTGCCCACCTCGGCCTCCCAAAGTGCTGGGACCACAGGCGTGAGCCACCACGCCCGGCCAGTCTGTTCATAATTGTTACACCTGTGCAACCATCCTTGGTATAGCTGTTTACACATGCAAAATATGTACGTTATTACTATTTGACAGTGTAAAGTGGCCTGTGAAGCACCTTCATGTTTTTAGGTTTCTCAAATTCCCATTTAAAATATAAATAAATACCAAGAATTTAAAAAAAAGTTTTTTAGAATTATATTTTTGGGATTTTGATCTTTCAGGATTGTACTTGACAGGATTTGAGACTTTGGGCATTTTGCTCTTTTGGGATTTCAACATTCAGGTTTATGGCACTGAAGACTGTGTGAAGGATTACGATTGGCTCCCTCCTGAGGTAAACTCAGGGAAAATACCTTGAATGGTATGACATTACACTGAGCACCTCTCCTCTTCTGGGCCATCCCAGAATCCTTGACATGTCACTCAACCTTCCAGGCCTCTCCTCAGCCTCTCTGCACTCCATGCAGGGTGGCATGAGCCGGGGATGCTGTGGGACGGGCCATGGTTAGGAGTGGGTCAGCCAGACCTGGGTTCACAGCTCTGCTGTGTGATCTGGGTGAGTCCCTTAACCTTTCAAGTGTCAGCCCATTCAAAAATAAATGTGATACTTACCTGTCATTCCAGCACTTTGGGAGGCCGAGGTGGGTGGATCACCCGAGGTCAGGAGTTCGAGACCAGTCTGGCCAATATGGTGAAACCCCATCACTACTAACATACAAAAATTAGCTGGGCATGGTGGTAGCCACTTATAGTCACAGCTACTTGAGAGGCTGGGGCAGGAGAATCACCTGAACCTGGGAGGTGGAGATTATAGTGAGCTGAGATTGCGCCACCGCACTCCAGCCTGGGCAAGAGAACGAGACTCCATCTCAAAATAAATAAATAAATAAATAAAATACTCTTCCTGATTTTATACCTGAGGATTAGAGGAGGACCACATATGGGAACGTGGCTACCACACTCTCTGCATATAGTGACTATTCACAAAGGCATGGCCACTACTAACATTTCACTGTGGTCATCGTCGTCGTTATTGCTCAAGCTTACCCAGGACACTGAGACCTGACACTGTCCCCACAGAGCATTTACTGAATGTGCGGGTATCGCCACTTTTCAACAACCTTCCTTGAGTATCTCGGTTTCACCTCCTGAGAGTGCTGTGGGGTCCAGCAAAGAAGGCATCACACCCATCTTAGGTCAAGAGGCCTCAAGAGGGAGAGTGGCCAGTTCAAGGACACACGGCTTCTGGAATAGGGAGTGACGGTCTTCCAGCGAATGTCCTGCATTCTCTTCAAGAACCCAAACCCCCGTCTCTACTAAAAATACAAAAACAAGCTGTGTGTGGTGGCACACACCTGTAATCCCAGGCTACTTGGGAGGCTGAGGCAGGAGAGTCGTTTGAACCCGGGAGGCAGGGGTTGCAGTGAGTGAGCTGAGATCGCACCACTGCACTGCAGCTTGGGCAGCAGAGCAAGACTCTGTCTCAAAAAAAGAAAGAAAAAAAAGAACCCAAACCCTGCTCCTAAAAGCAGACAAAGCAGAGAGGTGCTCAAAGAGGCCATGGGAACTGATGGAGTGGGAGAATGGAGGTCCCAGTTCCCTAGACAGAGCCGTCCAGCAGCCAGGCTCAGGACTCCAAACGTGTGGTCTGGTCCCGGCAATGCAATGAATCAAGTGAGACTCACCCAGCATGATGGCGTCCACGGCTCCCCCTGGGCAGAACTCAATCATGATCTGCAGAAAACACAGAGCAAAGTGATAATGAGTGGGGCTGCCTAGCCGTCGAGATGGAACCCCACAAGGCACAGCCAGGCAGGGTCCAATATGCCCAATGCCTGGGTACCCCTGCTCCTCAGCCCCTCCTGCTCCTGCCTTGGGAACCCGTCCCCCTGCCCCAGTGGGCCTCAACCCTCACAGGAGGCTCTGACACCCAGAGGAGTTGCTTGAGTGCTTCATTTTCTGAAGAAGGAAAACTAAGTTGCTATGAAGACCCGAAGCTTCAGCAAACGGCCTCTTCAGCCAAGCCCACACCCTCCCTCCTCGCTCCCACCTGTGCGCCTGGTGCCCACCTGCCAGCTGCCCTGTTTCCTATGCTCCACAGCCAAGAACCCCAGGACGCCTTCCCCCCAGCCAAGCTGGCCACGTCCTCTCAGAATCCCAGCGCCTGTCTCAGGCTCCCTCCATCTTCCAGAGCCCTGGACCTTGCTGGCGCAGAACACCAGGGCCTCGAAGATCAGCTCAGATGGAGAAACTGAGGCCAAGAAAGGGGATGTAACTGACCAAGGCCATAGAGATTGTTCCTGGACTGGAAGCAGAGCTCCAAACCCTCAGGTCATTCATTCATTCATCATACACTGACAGGCTGCAGGCCCTGGGAGAACAGCCAGGTCCAGGCCCTCAAGGGGCTCCCAGCTTAGTGGAGGGACAGAAAGGACAATTACAGTAGAAAGGCTCTTCCAGCCCTGGTTCACTCCCATTCTCACTCTTTCTGGTCCACTCTGGGCTCTTTGCATAGATGCTTTTGCTTTTTCTTTTCGCTTTCTTTCTCTCTCTCTTTTTTTTTTTTTTTTAGACAGAGTCTCGCTCTTGTCGCCCAGGCTAGCATGCAATGGCGCAATCTTGGCTCTGCCTCTTAGGTTCCAGTGATTCTCCTGCCTCAGCCTCCTGAATAGCTGGGATTAAAGGCATCTGCCACCACACCTGGCTAATATTTGTATTTTTAGTTGAGATGAGGTTTCACCATGTTGGCCAGGCTGGTCTCGAACATCTGACCTCAGGTGATCCGCCCACCCTGGCCTCCCAAAGTGCTGGGATTACAAGTGTGAGCCACCCTGCCTGACCTCTTTTTTCTTAAAGTAGGGCTACAGGTGGTTGAGGAAGGGGGATGGTGTCACAAACTTCAGGACAGGCAGAATCATCTCTGAGCTTCCAGCTCCTGGCCCCTGCTTATTGTGAAGTTCCTTCAACCCAGCTCAGCAGAGGCCCCGGAGAGTGGGGCAGTCCAGAAGACCCATGCTCTCTCTAAACAGGAAAGAAACCCTCAGCCATGGTCCAGCTGGACCAGAGACCGCTCTCCAGCCAGAGGAGGGTGGAGCAGACTCAGGAATCTGATGAGGCCTCCAGTTTGTGGCTTACCTTCCAGGGGCCTCCTGGCAATGTAAATATGAGCCTGAGGTCATGTGGGTCCTATGAGGATGTGGTGATGTGTGGCTTTTGAGCCAGCCACGGCTGGGCCCATGGCCCAGGTCCACCACTCACTAGTGTGGCCGTGGACAGGTCACTTCAATCCTCTGAGACTGTGTCCTCAGCTGGAAAATGGGGCTGCTGATGCCGCTGCTCTGAACTGGGACCCCACCACCGGGCTACACTAGGGGTATAAGCCGGGCTAGGATGCAAGAAACCAGAGTAGATGAAACAGGGGACTTCAACATGGGCCAAGGATACTAGAGATACTAGGTTCCAGGGGTAGCAACCATTCCAGGCCCTGCCAGGCTAGCCACATGCTGTGGAGGGCTGCATGCCATGGCAGAGAGCTGTGGAAGGCGGCACGGCCCACTTCCACGCCACTGCCTGCTGAGGAGGACGGAGGCTTTCTGGGTCACTCTGGTCCTGCCTGGTCATGAACGGGCCTGAACTCAGCTTCCCCAAGACTTCTCTCTAACACTACAGTGACCTGTCAGCCTTGAAGAAAGTCATCAGAAATGGATCCATGCATGCTGATCCTGAACGCCAAGGAAGTGGTACTTCCTCCATCCGCTTGTTCACTCATTCATTCGTCCATTCATTTGTTCACTCTTACCCAACCACCATCCAACCAGCTTGTTCCCAGAGGCAAGGGAACAGACAGAGGTAACTTGGAAACAGGAAGGCAATGACCTTCTGAAGCACAGCATATCATTCTGCCTTGTAGTAATTCTCAGCTCCACAAAAGAGGAAGAAAAATTCTACTAACTGCTAGAAAAAAACCAAGTCACAAGAGGTGATGATGGAGAAGAGGCAAAACTTAGTCACCATGCAAGGCCACCTACTAGCTGGGCGGCCTGTGAGATGGGGATGATACACCCTAACCCTCATGGGAATGATAAGCTCATCCAGGCCTTGCCAGGTGCCTGGTTCCAGGTTGGGACTCAGTTGTGTGAGCTGTCACTATGATTCTTTCTTTGAGTTCATGGGTCTGTTTTTCTCATTTATTTTTGTTTGGTTTTGAGGCGCCATGAAAGCCATCCTCTCCCCTCTCACCCAGAAACGTTCCTGTGCCATTCTATTGAATCCTTGCATATCCTGAAGTTCCATCACCAAGCCCTGGTTGGGAACCCCTGCTTAGCTTCCCTAACACCTACCACCTGTATGGCCTTGGACAACTTCCAATCCTCTCTGTAAAATGGACTAATATTACGTGGCTCTCGGATTTACTGTAAGGAACAGATGAGGTGGTACTTATAAAGACCCAGTCCTAGGCTGGGGGCGGTGGCTCACTCCTGTAATCCCAGCACATTGGGAAGCCGAGGCAGGCAGAACACCTGAGGTCGGGAGTTCGAGACCAGCCTGGCCAACATGGTGAAACCCCGTCTCTACTAAAAATACAAAAAGTAGCCAGGCGTGGTGGCGGGTGCCTGTAATCCCAGCTACTCAGGAGGCTGAGGCAGGAAAATCATTTGAACCCAGGAGGCGGAGGGTGGAGGTTGCAGCGAGCCAAGATCACACCACTGCATTCCAGTCTGGGTGACAGAGTACGACTCTGTCTCAAAAAAAAAGACCCAGTCCTAATACACCGTGGATATGTAACCAGGTCAGACACTTCCCCCTTCTCCAACAAGGTGCCAACACAAAGGAAAATGTTGTAAACTTGGGGTCGAGTCCTGGTGTGCCACTTAATTGACTATGTGACCCTGGATAAGTCAATCTCCCTGCCCCATCTGTAAAATGGCCTAATAATCTCTTGCCTCCAACTTCATTGAGAAAGTTAAAATGAGATTCCTTACATGAGAGAACAGCATGAAAGCCACACAGTTAATATGTGTTTGTTAAATCTCTAACAAATGAAATCACCAGAAAGTTTCATGCTTAGAACATGTTACTTAGGCTTCTGACAAAAATATGCCTTCCTCTCAGTCTGATTCCCAGGGAAAACAAAATAAAACAAAGAAATGCTTTCCCAGAACTACAATTTATTTATGTATTTATTTTTGAGAACTAAAATTTATGGACATGCCATCAGCTTTTTTTTTTTTTTGAGACGGAGTCTTGCTCTGTCTCCCAGTCTGGAGCATAGTGGCGCTATCTCGGCTCACTGCAAGCTCCGCCTCCCAGGTTCA